CCAACCAATTGATGTACAAACTGAATAAAAAATTCAATATACAACCATAAAGTGAACAATTCATGCTATGTATATTAGTAATTATGTGTAACAAATAAAGAATACTCTAACTGTATATATGATTAAAGCAAATTGACTTTAACACATCAACTTCATATATAACATATACAAAATGAAAAACATTATACAAATTCATAAATTTTATAAATTATTCTTAATAATTGATATATCATGTACTAATAAAATTTTTAAAATTAAAGCATGAATTATGTCAATGATGTAATAGGTGTTATACTAGTAGTTAATTTTTTTTTATAATACAAATTTATTAATATATATAACATTATCAATTTAAAATAGGGATAATTGGTGAACAGTCCACACTCATGGGGCCATATGTTATTTGGTTCATGAAAAATTCCAAATTCCAATTCAAACAAACTCTTAGTTATGTTACTCATAAATATCTGAATTCATGAATTTCATAAAATGATTTTCAATTTTCAATTCTCAATTATATGAATTTCATAATGTGACATTAACAATTATCAATTATATGAATTTCAATTTTTTTAATTTTATTCTTAGTTAAAAAAAATTACTTTTAAAACTCTAATTTCAAAACCTAATTTCCTTTTAATTCCTCTTAACAAGCAACAAATAAAATTTCCATTTCAACAAATATAGGTTGATAAATTTTTTAGTTTATGTGGGGTTAAAATTTCCTCTTAACCTAATTTCCTCTTAACCCCTTATTTTTTAAAATTTCATTCCTCTTAACCTAATTTTTTTAAAATTCTAACAACAAATAAAAAATATGGGGTTAAAATTTCCATTTCAACAAATATACACAATTCAAAATTCCAAAAAAAATATAGACATTTTGATTCACAAGCATAATTTCAAAATTCCAATTTCTGCTTTCAAATATCAAAATATAGACATTTCATAATTCCAATTCAACAAATATAGGTGAAGAAGATGATTTTGTGTATAGATCAAATATAGACATTTAGCTCAAAATGTCTATATTCCAATTCAACAAGTATGGCATCTAGCTCAAATATAGGTGAACAAATATTGGTGAAGAAGATGTCTATATTTTCTTCAGAAGATGATTTCGAAATATAGACATTTCAAATTATTCCAAACATAATTTCTGATTTCTGATTCAGAAGCAAAATTCCAAACCCTAACATTTTCACAACACTGATAAAAAACCCTAACACATTACAACAAACACATTTAATAATTGACATTTAAAACCCTAACATTCACATTTTCACAAACACACATTCACAAACACACATTCACAAACACAATAAATAAATACATAAAATTCAGAAAAAAAGACAGAGCCATACCACGGAGACAGAGACAGAGACAGAGAGTGAGAGCAGCGAGAGAGCGAGAGCGACAGTGTGAGAGTTGAGCGGAGGGAGATCGAGAGAGAGAGATCGAGAGCAGAGGGAGATCGAGAGCTGAGGGTGAGAGAGCAGATGAGATCGAAAGCTGAGTGTGAGAAGTGTAAAAAACGTGGCTTGGGTGTGTTTTATTGTGTCTGAAAGCGGTATTAGAAATGGCGAGTTTGTAAGTGCACAGTGAAGGCGCTATTCGAAATAGCGTTTTCTTCACAAACCATTTGCAACAGTGAAGGATGTAGACGTCCCCGAACGCCCCGGGAGGAACGAGCTCCCGTTCTGTTCATTTGGGGTCACTACAGCTCAGGACTCTCAAATTTGTCACGGTTCTAAGTCTGAACCAAAGAGTCCAAATCCGGCAAATCGTTTTGAGAAAACAGATTTTTTGAAAGAAGTGCCAAACATGGACTGTTTTGCCAGATACAGAGTGGCCACTTAAATGTTTTTTTAATGGGAAATTTAGGAAACCCTAACTCGGTGCCAAAGGCCACGTGTCCGTCATCACCAAAGTTGCCTCGGCTCGGGAACTTGGGTACGATTGGGGAAGGTCACTTCGTGAGCCGGCCTCTACTAACCATGATATCAATTTTTGAAAACATTGTGAGTTCTTATTCCGGTTATTAGCCTAGGTTACTATGTGATGCGCACAGCATACAAGTATAGACTGGATCGCCTGAATTGGAACAAAACATTTCATGTTCGTTTTTTTGAAAGATGGTTTGCTACTCGCAAGTAGGCTTAAAATGCAGATTTTGCCACCCGCAAGCGGGCTTAGAGAAGATGGTTTTGCCACTATCTAGTGGGCTTAAAACAAACAGTTAATGAATTGTTCCAATCCAAATAACCCAACCTCCACCCGCAGGCATTCAAGCAGTTATATCACATAAGAACATAGCCTCACGGTAAGCATGCTATTCATGGCAGTCACTCACACTCATGCAAGGATGCTAAAGCATAAAACTCACCGAGTACTCCAAGCCAAAACAGAAACTCATTAGAAATCTATGCATGATCCTAATTATACAGAAGTGCCTAATGCAACACATGCAAAAATGTAACTATAG